TGCAAGCTATAAAGAAAATTCAGATTATTAAAGTTGTTAATACTATTACTGCAGTAGTTAGCACTCATACTCAAGACAAGACAGCACTTTTACTAAGCCTGGTGTCTTTGACTTCTCATCAATGTTTGCTCCTCTTTTCTTTCAGCTTCTGTCCTTCACTTGCTACCTACTTGCCACTCACTCTGCTCCCCTCCCCCTGCCCCAAGTCTGTCCAACTGGGAAAGGATCTTATCCTCCATGACAATTACTTCATCCACTTGACAGTCTTAGTTCCTTGGCTAACCATCCACAAGAAAATCTACAGGCAAACCACTTCACAGGGCTGGAGTGATGATTAAATGGAGAAATGACGTAAAGCTTCACACAGGGTTTAGAATAATCCTCTTACCCTCTTTTCCCCAAGGGAAGAATCGTATTTAAATCTAGCAACTGTTAGCTTGTTGGAATAGAGAATGTTTGGAAATGGAGCAATAAGAATAAATCTCTTAACAGAAAACTTTCAGGCCAGGAGTTAGGGTAGTGGTTAGATGGAATAGAACAATTTGGGGGGCAACGGGGGCCAATTAATGACCTCTCAGGTCCCACTGTGTGGGTTTCACCAATTCTGTTCTTGCCTGAGGCAATTTGGAGGAGAGTGGCACTATATGAGAGATTCTCCTGTGCAGCAACCTCTTCTAGAAGACCACAGAGCCCAGTTAAAAATAATATAACAAATAATGATTTTGTGTGGGTGTGTGTTGCTTTTTTCCTTTTTTTTTTCCTTAAAGGGGTGAGGGCATGGAAAATATACATCAGACCAATGAAACAAAATGTCAAAAACACAAAAAAACAGAAAATGGAAAAATGTATTTACAAGTAGTACGTTACTATGATGAGAAAGCACAAAGAAGCCTGCTGCTGTAATACATGCATTGGCTCAAGAAGAAACTACTAAACACCATGTGAGCGAGAAGCCTATACTTATGGCACTGCGCTCCAGCCTGGACTGGCCCCACGACCTACACTGTATCAGACATACCATTTTCAGCTCCTGTTCACGCTCCCTCATAACGTTTTTTTTTTAAAAAAACATGCTATCCTTAATGAATTCATCTATTCCCATATGTGTCGACATGCCAGCAAATTTCCAAGTCCACATCTGGAGTTTGTAAGCTCTAAAATTGTGCTCCAGTAACTTTTCTTCGCTCAGATGTCCAGCTGGTATCTCAGATTTAAAAAAACATAACTCATTATCTTTCTCCAAGGCTGCTCTTTCTCCTATGTTGCCTATTTCTGCATTGGTTTCACTCTCTACCAGCTGTCTAAGCTAGCAACTCTGGAGCCATCTCAATGATTCCTTCACTCTCATTCTCACATTCAGAATTGATAGGACTTGGTGATTATCGCAGATCTTGTGGGTGTCTCCCCTGTAAACTCTTAGCATTCACTTCTCCTCTGCATTCAAAGCATTTCTGCACTCAAAGCATTTCTACTGCAAGCATCAGAAACTCTTTGCCTGGGAGATTTCTCTGGCTGCTGGTACTAACTCTGTGCACTTACGGGGCAGGTGAGAATTGTAGAGAGTTAAGTCCCTGGAATCAGTTCTCACTCAAGGACTGATGGAAGTTGATGGATATAGATTGGGTAGGGCAACTCTGAAGCATGCTCTATGCTGTCTCCCAGAGGCCTCCAGTGAGTCTGAGCCCCAATTGCCCACAGTAATAGTCTACTAATTAATGTATCTGAAACAGTTTCCATCCCTTTTCCATCTCCAACTGGTGCTTCCTTGCATCATTTATCAAATAAACTCCTTACATTCAAATCCTTGTTTCTGGGTCTGCTTCTAGGAGAATCTAACTAAAGCAATGGCCAGTTAGACACTGGAATAAAGAGAGGAGTTGAGAAGGGCTACAAAATCTTTCATATGGATGATAGGCGTTTTAGAGGTATCATTAATCATAATGAAAAACATATGTATTTTATATTAAGATGTTAGATAATTGAAACTGAGATAACCATTAGACATATTCAGTAGACTGTTGAAAATATACAGTTGAGGCCAGGTGCGGTGGCTCACATCTGTAATCCTAGCACATTGGGAGGACAAGGTGAAAGGATTGCTTGAGCTCAGGAGTTCAAGACCAACCTGGGTAACATAGTGAGACCTTGTCTCTACCAAAATAAATTTTAAAATTCGCTGGGTATGGGGTATGCACTTGTAGTCCCAGCTACATGGGAGGCTGAGTCAGGAGGACTACTTGAGCCCAGGAAGTTGATGCTGCAGGGAGCTGAGATCATTCCACTGCACTCCTGATTGGGCAACAGAGTGAAACCCTGTCACACACACACATTTAAAAAAAAAAAAAAAAAAAAAGAGAAAAAGAAAAAAAAAAGAAGAAGAAGAAAAGAAAAACAGAGAAAATATGCAATCGGAGATCAGGAGAGAAGACTGAAGATAAGGGCTAGGTGCAGTGCCTTGTGCCTGTAATTCCAGCACTTTGGGAAACTGAGGCAACAAAATGAGACCCTGTTTCTACAAAAAAAAAAAAAAAATTCTAAAAAGACTGGAGATAAGGATTTAGAAGTTATGTATTAGTGTATGTAGGCAGGTGCTAAAGCCATGGAAATGGATAAGGTGGCCAAAATGCAAATGTATGGTGAAAAGACCAGAAAATTAAGGAGTTAAGGATAGGTTTTTTTGAGATGGAGTCTTGCTCTATTGCCCAGGCTGGAGTGTAGTGGCGCAATCTTGGCTCACTGAAGCCTCTGCCTCCCAGATTCCAGCAATTCTCCTGCCTCAGCCTTCTGGGTAGCTGGGATTACAGGCACATGCCACCACACCCTGCTAATTTTTGTATTTTTAGTAGAGATGGGGTTTTGCCATGTTGGCCAAACTGGTCTCGAACTCCTGACCTCAGGTGATTTTCAATCATGACATTGAAAAATTGGTAATGACTTACATATCTAATAATAAAATATAGTTAAATGGGTATGTCCCAAAATACTTAGTAGTCATTAGTGTTTTGTTTCTCTATTACTACTATTAATAGACGCAAAGACTAAATATCAATAAAGGCCAAAACGAGCGAAGAAAGTGGCAGCCTTTTATTTGCAAATATGCATACACTCTCGGGCGAGGTTCTCTGGTCCTCAGCTGTGGGGGGCCAGGGAAGTCGCACCGACACTCTCAGGTGAGGTTCTCTGGTCCACAAATGCGGGGGCTGAAGAAGTCATGCTGGCTCCTGCCAGTGGCAGAATTTTATGCATTGGTACTGGAAGGGGGAGGGCAGTGGGCGGGATAAGGGCGTGATAGGGGCGTCTCCATAGGCGTGGCTGGGTAAGTTTCGAACTCTTCGGATTGACGTCATCTGGCGCATGCTCGGTTGATCTGCATCTTCCCGGAGCGGGCTGCATTTTCCCGTGCACGGGAATGTTGGTGAGGAAGAACCCGGAAGCAACATGGATTGTGCCTTCTTGTTCACCTTCCTCCATCTTGTCCTTTCTCCCTCACCCAAACAATTAGAACTAATGTTGTAGGCCAATATGAACGTGGAAAGTTGCTCGTGAGAGTTTTAAGTGAAAAAAATCAAGTTAGCAAAATAAGTATGTTTCAATTTCTGGTTATATTCCTTAGCTGGAATACAAACACTGCAAGTGTGGGCTGTCCATTGTTGACATCTCCCCCTCCACCCCCAGCGTGTTTGCATTGATTTATATGCATTGTGGCTTTTGTTCTAGCTGAGAGGAGAAGAGGTATAATTGGTAGAAGAGATGAGGAGGAATGTGGAGGAACATGGGGAGTGCAGTAACGAATCTATTTCCTGCCTCAATTCTCATACTAGGTTGAGCTCCTAGGCTTTGTGAATGACAGCTGGAAGGGATGGAAATGTTTCATTTTTAAAAAATAAAAATATGATATTGTAATTTTGGACAAGGGAGTAGGGGACAAAGCCCCAGAAAGTTCAGGAAAGAACTGTGAGATTTGGTGCATATGGTACAATAACTCCTAGACCAGATGTCAAAAACTGCCATGAAGCTGGAGAGGAGACAATTCTCCCCATCTGTGTGGTAGAGGCTACTCACTGTCCCCCAATATCTCTTCATCTCACCTTGCTTATTAATACAATTTTAGGTAGGCACTCAGGTGACAAGACTATGTTTTGCAGATCCCCTTGCAGCTAGGTGTGGCTTTGTTATCAGATGGAATGAGGGGATATGATTGTAGAAACTCCAGCAGCCATCTTGAATGAAGGATTCAAGGCAAGCTCTGATGATGGCAGAGTCACGAGATAAAAGGAGCCGGGGACCCTGTCACAGGACAGAGCTGCCAGCAATGCCATCTCTATAACAAACACTAAATATTACTCATATCTAAACCTGAACGTAGATAGGCAGTAATTTCTAACCAGTGTTTAGCCCAGCACAAGGCCTGGGTGGTAGACTTTCAATAAATGTAGAATTAAGTTTATTCACACTATTTCGAGTTATGGAAGGCAAGAATCAGACCTTAGACTTTCGTGCTCAATCTTGAAGACAGTGTTTTTCAACCCTTTCAACCGATTATCTCTCAAAACCTAAAATCTCATCCACCATCCCACTCTGTTTTACCGGGCAGATGTGTTTCTCAACCAAAGAAATAGAAGATAGTGTGTTTTCTACCTATTGTCAGTTAGCTAATTAGAGCAGGATGCTGGCGATGCCAAAATCTGTAGCCCCATCCCTTATATGGCACTTGAGGGGAGCGAGTATAAAGCAGTAGTTAAGACCAAAGGTTTTGGCCTTGGGGCTGCAGTTATCTCTCCTTTTCAAGACCTTGGGGTCAATGTTTAACCTCTCTGGGCCTCATCCAAGAAATGGAAATACTAGTAATACTCCATATGGTTGTCGCAAGGGTGAAATCTCTGTAGAAAGTGCCGAGGAATGCCTAGCACAACCAAGAGCTTGTCAAACTTGTCACGCTTTACTGTCTGTAGCGTGCATTAGGCAAACGATAGTTTTATTTGTTTATTTCATCTTCCAAGTATAAGAATACATTGTAGCTCGACATTTTGACACCGGCCCCTAAATCTTTCCCACCACCACCCCCGCTGCGACAAAGCACTACGCTCCTTACGACAGCGTACGACGCCTAGCCTGACAGGAACACCTCTTACGGTAGAACCGCGCGGGCCAATCGCGCGGCTCCCGGGCGAAAACGTAACTGCGCCTGTGCATGCGCAGGGCGGGGAGACCTTGGCGAGGCGGCGGAGGCGCCCAGCGGAGGTGAAAGCATTGGCGGAAGGGAAGATACAGCGGAAAAATGCAGAGCTGGAGTCGTGTGTACTGCTCCTTGGCCAAGGTGAGGGCCGAGTAGGTGGGGTCGTGCTGAGCCAGAGGCACGGAAGGTCCCGCTCAGTGGGTCCGGGACGCGGCCTAAGCCCGTTGGCCTGGTGGAGCCCAGGCGCCTGGCCCGCACCACCCCTGGCACCGCCTCTGCACCGGCTCAGCCCGGCCCTAGGCTCCGAGGTAGCAGCTTCTCCTGCGGCGGTAGCAGGCGAGGGACGGGCCTGGGCCCCAGGCTGTGGCGAGTCCTTTCAGGTTGTGTGACGGCCGGCGGTCACAGATGCCACACCCCCAAGCCTGGGCCGAGGGCCATCCCGGTCACACAGAGGCCTCTACCTTGGAGGAAGTGTAAGCCACCCACGTCCCGTATAGTCTGGCTCTTTATACCTTCTGCCTTTTTCTCATCCTAATTCTGACCCCTGAGTGGCCTCGTTTTATGCAGTGGGCAGGTAACCCTGGGGTCACTTCTTGAATGGTTCAGACCCAGTCAGCTCCAACAGAAAGCCCTCGGAATTCCTCTAAGGTCTTGTCAGTGTTGGCAGCTTTCAGCTGGTGTTCATTGCCATCTCTCAGGTCTTTCTGGATATTTAAATCTTTAATTGCAACAGGTTATCAGAACAACTTTCCTTTTTAACCTGCCTACCATACACACAATTAATACACCTACAAATTGTGTGTATGTGGCACCGTGGCCGGGTACTATATTGGTGGAGACCTCAAAAATAATATAGCGATCAAACCCCTTTGTTTCAGAGATGAGGAACCTGCGTTCCCAAAAGTTAATGTAACATTCTATAAGTCATGCTTTTAGGGAGCGGCGGAGGTGGGACTAAAACTCTAAGATTGACAATCGGCTGCTCTTTGGGTTTGCTGTCCTAACCTCAAGTGTTAAGAGTTGCCTTGGAGTAGTTTTGTCACTGCCGCCCATTTGCCTACTGTGATAGGAGCAGGGGCTGTTTGCTTTCTTTCTTTCTGCCTCATTGCCCTTAGGAAATGGTAGCCATCCATATATAGAGATTAGGGAGATGATGAGTTTTATCAAACTGTCATAGCTCCAGAACGTAAGTACACTACTTGGTGCATTTTCCTAAGTTACCTTGTCTAATTTGCTATTCCTAGTTGATGGCTCAGGAACATCTTCATAGATGGTTCTAAGTAAATATGGACTATATATACATGCTGGCTTAAAGTTAGGAAACAAAAATTACAGGTAAAAGGATTATCATGTATAGATTATTCAAGTATTTAAGTTAGAACTTTCAGAGCTTTATTCATTTATTTATTTTGAGACGGAGGCTCACTCTGACGTCCAGGCTAGAGTGCAATGGCGCGATCTCGGCTTACTGCATCCTCCGCCTCCCGGGTTCAAGCGATTCTCCTGCCTCGGCCTCCCGAGTAGCTGGGATTACAGGCGCCCACCTCTATACCTGGCAAATTCTCTTGTATTTTTAGTAGAGACGGGGCTTCACCATGTTGGCCAGGCTGGTCTGGAACTCCTGACCTCAGGTGATCCACCCACTTCAGCCTCCCGAAGTGTTGAGATTACAGGCGTGAGCCACCACGGCTGGCTCAGAGCTTTATGACATTAAAATGATCCCTGGCACTAATAGCCATGTTTTCTGAAAATTGAATAAAAATACCATTGAATACATTTTTAAAATTAAGTATGAGATGGTTTGTTGACTATTCATAATAAAAAGATGGGTGTGGCAAGCTGAGACTGAAAAGTTCAAATGATTAGTTATCGTCAAAGAGGGAAAGTTGATCTGTAACTTCTGTGTGGCAATGGAAGAAGATACACTAATAATCCTTGCTTGATACATTTGCCAAAAATTGTTCTGTTTTCATCAGCCTTAAGTAGTTCTATGTTTTGAATTCATATCTTACATAGTAGGAACATTTTCTTTTTCTAGAGGGGCCATTTCAATCGAATATCTCATGGCCTACAGGGACTTTCTGCAGTGCCTCTGAGAACTTACGCAGATCAGCCGAGTAAGTACTTAAGTAAAACATTTTTTTCATCACGTTAGTTGACAGTTCGTTTTTGTTTCTATGTAAAAGTAAGTGAATATTGGAATAACTTATGTTAAGTGTCTTATAGTTCATTTGTTTATGTATTTATTCGTTTGAATGTGTGTTGAGCTAGTGTGTTCCAGGCGGTGAACAAGGTAAAACCCTGCTCTTGTGAAACTTGTAATTTGGTGATAAAAGACAAACAATATATAAGTAACGGATAAATATTTTTGGGAAGTAACTGACAATTAAAGCAGGTGATAGGGAGAAAGATAATTTTAGATACAGTGTCAGGAAAGGCCTTTCTGAGGAGATGATGTCTGGGCAGGATCCTGAGTGAAGTGAAGGATTGAGGTTACTTCAGGCAGAGGGAAACAACACTGAGAAAGGTCTGAGGTGGAACTTAGCTTGTGAAGTTTAAGGAATAGCAAGAAGGCTGATGGGGCTGGAACAGAAACGCATAGAATGTAAAATCAGAGAGGTAGGCAGGAGACAGATCATGGAGTGCCTTATAAGCCAGGCCTAGTAGTTTGGATCGTACTCCAAGTATGATGGGAAACAAAGGTTTTGAGCAGGGCAGCAATTTCATATGTTTACATTTAAAAAGTTAATTTTGTCCATTGAGTGAGGTTGTGTTGGTTATTTTAATACTGTTTAGAATGATGAGATGACTTTCTTGACATCCTGAATGAAAGTTTTCATGGGTTTATCAAAAGCATGTTTTAAAGATTAGCAGGATGTACCTTAAAAGGAAGCTATGGATTATGGAATTTTCTCTGGTATACTTTTTTTTTATTTTTGAAGTTCCTGTAAAGGATATGCGTTTTATTTTTTTTAAATATTTAAAACAGAAAATCAATAGGATTATATTGAAGTACCAAGGATATTGATTATTTGAAATGAACTGTTTTGACATTTACTGAATTCACCCATATGGATTATAAGTAAAATCGAATGTCTTAAAGCTTCAATTATAGAAATCATTATCTGGGGGAACTGTGACTGTCAGTCTCCCTGCATTCTGTGAAGTAATTTAATCCTGTATCCTCAACTGTTATCCAGCCATTATCATTTTGGGTATTTTATTTCTAGAGGAAGGGGGAGGATTCTAGTCACCCATGACCAACAGTGAGTGAGTGATTTATCCTAGCTTTAAACAGTTCAAGAAATCCTTTTTAAAAAAAAGCTAATATGATGATGAGGGGAAAAGTTGGACCTCTTATACACTTTGTCTCTTTTTAAATGGGAATCTCATTTTCTCAACTCACATAACAGGAGAGATGTTAGATTTTCATTTCTAAAGGATGTTTTTTATACCTTTGGAATCAGTCAACAAAGATTATTCAGTGCCTTCTATTTGCCAGGCAGCTCCTGAGCCAGAACTTGGATTTTAGTGGAATGAGGCTGAGCGTTCCACGATCAGTTTGGGGATGCCTTGACATTGAGTAAATCATGAATCACTTAGTACCCATGTATGTAAAGTGTGTAAAAGCTTTGAGTAGATGCAGTAACAAACATTTTACACACATACTTGTATTTGTCTGAGGTATGTGCTTACTGTCTTTTCCCCAGGAATGCAGACTTCATCAGGGCAGGGACTGTGTGTGACTGACTGTTTTGTTTTGTACCTAAAGTGATACAGTAGGTAATCAGTACATATTTATTGAATGAATGAACCCTGGGCCAGGTCTGTTTTAGTTACTGCTCTATGGCAAAGCATCTGGTATGGTGTCTTGTACAAAGTAAGTATCCAGCTACAACAATAATAATATTAACTGATGCACTAAGGGCTTAACTCTGTCTTGGGCACAGATTTAACCCTCATGGCCTTTCTGCTACCTATGTGCTGCTGTTCTCCCCATTTTATAGATGGAAGAGTTAGGTTTTTCAACTAGGAAATGACAGAGCTGGGAGAATCCTTTTGACTTCAGAGCCTGCACTGTTAATGTTTTATTCAGTTTTCTTCCTTACATGAGTATTGATTGACTCTCCTGAGAAGTTCAAATCTTACTATGATACAGTCTCGGTTACAACATCTGAGAGATGTCTGAATAGCCTTATGAACCAGGTTCATCAGAATTTGCAAAGTTGTGTGTGTTGCTGTTGATGTGACCTTTTATTTCATGACAGCACTTAATCAAACTTGTAGCACTTATATCACTCATGTTCACTCATTCATTCATTCTTTTATTTATTATTTCGACAGATACTAATATCTACTATGTGTTAGTCACTGGGCTAACTACTGGAATACAGCAGTGAGCAAGACGGACAAGACCTAGCTTTTATAGAGCTTACAATTTAGTTGGGGGAGACAAACATCCAACACATAATTGTGACTGGGGTCCACAGACTAAGCATAGGGAGTAATGACATCTATATATATATGGATTGGGAATGGTCACATAATTCTTTCCTTAGGAATTATGTTGATAGCTGAAAAGGTTGAGAGTAACTCTGGTTACAGGTTGGACCTTTCACTGTAATTCTTTTTTTTTTTTTTTCCTGTTTAGACTATAAGAACTAGGGCTATGTCATTTATGTATACACACACACGACACAGCATGTGCAGGCACACCCCCCCAAGAGCTTAACGTAGTGTTTGTAATGTGAAATGCGTGCTGTTAGTGTTTATTTCTAGGTAGATGGAACAGATCGTACATAGGTAGATGAGCATAATTCTATGCATGTAGGCTAAGAGTAGTAATTCACTGTTACTGAGGCTTAAACTGCATGGTATTGGTGAGTAAACAGAACATGGTAGGAGATGAGGCTGGAGAAATAGTTACTGAAGGAATTTGGATGTTGTACTTAGGAACATGGGCTTTATCTAACAAGAGATTGGGGAACCAATAGAGCATAACAACAAAGAGAATAACATCTGAGTTGGGTTTTAGCTCTGTGGTAGCACTGTGTAGACTAAAATGGAGGATGTGAATGAGACTAGAGGCTGCCGGACTGAAGTTTGGAGGTGGATCTGAGAAGGGGAGTAACACTGAGTAACCAGTATGCACCTGGCACCTTCTTAGGATCTTAACATGCGCACTCTCTGAGGCTGCAGGTGTCATCCTTACTATTATCCCCATGTTATCAAAGCCCAGAGAGATTGAGTAATTGACCCAAGAACTTAGCCGGGGTAGAGTTTGGAACCCAGGTTTGTTTTACTTCAGATTATTTCTTTTTTTACTGTATTTCTTCTTTAGGGACCAGGAGGTTATGACCAGAAAGTGGAGTGTTGATTTCAGAGGCTGAACAGTTTTGGGTGATAACAAGTATAGAGTGTTCAGTATAGGAGGAAGTTACTGAAAAAGACTGGAGAATAAGGCCATTGACAATGTAAAAACAACTTCCCTTACCCCTCAACAAAATGTCAGCAAATAAACCTTACCAAGTAGCTCTTATATTCAGTACATTTGGTAATTAATGATTATTGCCTTATGACATCTCTTTTCCTGTTTGATTTTTCTTTTTAAAAATCTGGGTTTTTTTTTTTTTTTTTCTTTCTAAGACGACGTCTGGCTCTTGTCTCCTAGACTGGAGTGCAATGGCACAATCTTGGCTCACTATAACCTCCGCCTCCCAGGTTCAAGCAATTCTCCTGCCTCAGCCTCCCGAGTAGCTGGGATTACAGGCACCTGCCACCATGCCCGGCTAATTTTTGTATTTTTAGTAGAGATGGGGTTTCACCATGTTGGCCAGGCCGGTCTTGAAGTCCTGACCTCAGGTGATCTACTCGCCTTGGCCTCCCAAAATACTGGTATTACAGGTGTGAGCCCCCACGCCCAGCCAAAAATCTGGTTTTATCTTCATTTTGACATGTACCTCTTTTTCCTCACTGTATTGTAAGGTTATTGAAGGTACTGATGAGTCATAACTATTTGATTTTGTTCTGATAGTAAAGCATATTCTTGTCATTTTAGTTGAAGTTCTTGATTGTCCAGGAGATTATGGGATCATCTGAGTGTTTTGGCAGGCGATAGAACATAATGGTACATGGGAGCATACATGTCAGAATCTAGAGGACCTTGTTTGAATCCTGGCTAGATTACTTACTAGTTGTGTAGCCTTATGCAAGTTATTTAGTTGTTTTCAACCTTTTCTTCCTCTGTTAATGGTAGTAATAACTATGTCATAGAAATGTAATGAGGCTTACATAAGACAGTACACGTGACTGGCTCACTAACTGGCACATTGTAAACTACCCAAGTGTTAGGTATTGTAGACTGACTTTTTTTTTGAAACAGCGTCTCACTCTGTCGTGCAAGCTGGAGTGCAATGGTGCGATCTTGGTTCACTGCAACTTCTGCCTCGCAGGTTCGGGAGATTCTCATGCGTCAGCCTCCTGAGTAGCTGGGACTACAGGCATGCACCACTATGCCCAGCTAATTTTTGTATTTTTAGTAGAGATAGGGTTTCACCATGTTGGCCTGCCTTGTCTTGAAGTCCTGACCTCAAGTGATCCACCCACATTGGCCTCCCAGAGTGCTGGGATTACACAGACTGACTTCTTGAGATACATCTTATAATTATATTGATGATTAAAATTGATTTGTAACACAACACCTTTATTTCAGTGGTAGCCTGGATAATGTGGTGCCTTATTTTCCTTGTAATGATCTAATATGTAACACTTGGAGAATTTGTAGAGTACTTTTCTTGCCTTTTTTCTTTGAGTTAATTTTAATAACATTAATTGCCTTGTTCAAGTCAGTCACTTCTTATTGTACTCCAGTATTTTTAAAGTATCAACCTGATACTTTAAACCTGATAGGAGCACACATTTCAGAATCTAAAGGACCATGTTTGAATCAGCTGATACTTCACTGACACTTGAAACACAGATTGCTATTCAGCTGTCATTTGCCATTTTTCCATCAGGCTTGCCTTAAATAAATGTATTTCATTTAACTACTTTTCTGTATCCTTTTTTTTTTTTTTTCTGAGATAGAGTTTCGCTCTTGTTACCCAGGCTGGAGTAGTGCAGTGACACGGTTTTGGTTCACTGCAACATCCACCTCCCGGGTTCAAGTGATTCTCCTGCCTCAGCCTCCCGAGTAGCTGATTACAGGCTCTCACAACCACGCCTGGCTAATATTTTGTATTTTTGGTAGAGATGGGGTTTCGCCATGTGAGGCTGGTCTCAAACTCCTGACCTCAGGTGACCACCTGCCTCGGCCTTCCAAAGTGCTGGGATTACAGGCATGAGCTACCATGCTGGCCTGTATTCTGATTTTTTAACTTTATGTATGGGACCTAACCTGTAAAATTCTTCTTGACAAGGAGAGGGTGAGTCAGAATCATTTGTTGTCAGCTTTCATTTGTATGCATCCTTTGGTACAGGTGAGAGTTAGATTATTTTTCTGACATTTTATTATGAAAAATTACAAACATTTAGAAAATTGTAAGAATTTTACATTGAACACCCATAATTTTCTTCCATTAACATTTTCTGTGCTTACAGTACCACATATGTGCTCATCAGTTTATCCATCAGTCCATCTTATTTTTTGATACATTTCAAAGTATATTGTAGATGTGTGTATACTTCCCCTAAATACTGGTTTGTTTTTGAAAGTTTGTTCCTGGCTTATACCCTCCTGTATTCTCAGTTGACAGATCTTTACATAAAGAGTCTGCTTTTTTCTCATTTTTGTGCATCTTAGCACTTTAGTGGTATTGTGATGGAATATTACATCTAGTATCTATAGTGAGAGAGGAACTCTTGAATTTTTGGTATTTTCTGAAGTTTAAAAAAAAAAAAATAACCGCTAAGATTACGTAGTGAATAGGGAAATGAAACCCAAGGGTTTTGGCTATTATCTTTTATCTCTTGTTTACTTCTCCTGACCTTACTAAAACAGTTCTTTTCCAAACCAAATTTATTTTTCATTTTAGTACCATGGACCTACTATAAGAATTGTTACATATCCGTGATTAAAGATACATGCTCAAAAATACATATACTCAAAATTTAAAATATTTAATTTAGTTTTATTGTCATTAAAAGGGTTTTTGGAGAATCATAGCAATAATATGTTATAAATATATATGCTCATGTAAGAATGAGAAAAGAATATAAAATATGGCAAAAATTGAATTTTATAAAAACTTTCCTAGAGGAAAGATTGGGAGGTTCTATAAACAGTTTTCTCTGGGTTGTATGGCAATGTGGATGGGTTTTTTTTTTTTTTGATTTAGTGTATTTAAATTTATTCAGTAAACTTGTATTTTTAATCAGAAAAGACATTAAAAATTCAGCAAAGAAACCTGTTTTGTAGCTTGTATTTACATTACTCTGAAATTAAAAATTAGAACCCATTTGAGGGATGTTGTGTAGATTATCACTTGGTTCAAGATTTGAAAATAAAAATACATTTTATTAGATACTTAATTCTGAACCTGAGTCTGAACCACGCAGGGTGGCTAAAAAGCACAGATGGATCAGTAAAAATTGAAGCAATTTTTCATATATTGAAATGACTGTACGTATTTTTCATGTATTATCTCAGTTATCATCTGCTATAACCAAAGAAAATCTCGTACTTTCATTTATTCAGCAGGAGGGATTCTTAGATTTTTGTGGATAATTGGGCTGAATAACTTAGTTATCCACCAACACAGAGGTTCTATGATTCTATTCAGGCCAGCAAAGGTTTTTGAATGATATTACTCTAGGGGTGTGTGTTTTTGGGGAGAGGTGGTGATGCAAATTAGAATAGTATTCTTTGTAGGTCAGAATATACCTACTATGTATAGAATACTTACTATGTGTGCTAGAGGTACTATGCTAAATTATTACATGCATTATTTTATTCTATGAAGTAGATTTTTTTGTGGTCTTTCTTTTGCCAGGTATGGAAACAAAGATGAGGCAGGTTAAATTACTCACCTAAGGTCACTTAGGTAGTGATTATAAAGCTTGATTATTGCTCTCTGGGATTTTAGTTTATGATGGTTAAAACTGAGGAATGGAATAGTATTGAATAATGGAAAGACTACTGGAAGTAGAGTCAAAAAGCTTAGTTTGTCTCTGCAGTTCACTTGCCAGTTAACCTTAGACAAGTTAATTGACCTCTCTTGAACTTCTTGTTTCTTCTGTGAAATGTCTTATTTATGACATCTTTATCTTCCTCATAGGAAATTCTGAGACTCAAACATGATAATATATGTGAATATGTGTTACGAATTGCTAAATGCTAGACTAGTTGTGGTTGTCAGGACAGTGGAAGGGGAAGAAAAGGGAGACTGTTTCCTAACTCTTAAAAGTCATTGTTACTTTATTTGAAGTTGGATTGAGAAGAATGGGAGTAATTGAACTTATTTGCACATTAGTATTATGATTGTTACACTCCTAAGGATACTGATCAAAATTAATTTTCAATTTTTTATCTTTATTTGAAAAATAGCCACAGTAGTTAATTGAATATTCTGGTTAGCCTATTATCTTTAAAGTATACAAAAAATATCAATATGCAAGTTCAAAACATATTTGTTAAATATTACGTGGAAGCTGTTTTTTCCCTCATATTTCAGAAGGACCTGAAAAAGGTAATAGGTCTTAAATTTATTGGAAATATTAAAGCATTATATAAAATTATCTTATTTAATTCTAACATCAATCATTAAAGGCAGTGTTTTCATCCCCATATTACAGAAAGGTTAAGTCATTTGGTCAAGTTCACACAACTAATCGTTGGCAGTGCTGAGATTTGAAGCCCAGAATGTCAGAATTCCAAAGCTCAGGCTCTTTGCTTCATACATACTTGTCTTCCAGTATCACTAAATTCCTGTCAGTTATTAAATCAATAGAATTTAGGAAGGTCAGTGGATACAATGTTAGTATTACAGAACTCAGTTGTGTTTCTGCATGTTGTAATGAATAGAAAATAATAGAAAATGAAATTTAAGATAACAGAAAATGAAATTTGAATATTTACGCCATTTTTCAGTAGCATCAAAGAGCATCAAGTAGTAGTAATAAAATAGTGCAGAAACTATGTAGAAAATGCTGATTTGTACTCTAAGAGATTTAAGTATTGGGTTATTTGTTTGCTCTTCCAAAGAGCTCTTTTTGGTAACTATTAAGCAATTTACTATTTTATATCAATTTGCTTTTATTGTAGTTGATGCTGATGTAACAGTTATAGGTTCTGGTCCTGGAGGATATGTTGCTGCTATTAAAGCTGCCCAGTTAGGCTTCAAGGTAAGGTTTGAACTCCAACTAAGTATTGATTTATTTTGATTTGGGAAGGGTTGATCATGTGTATAAAGTACTTTGCAGGCAAAAACATGGTAAATACTTTCTTAACTCTATAAATAACTTGTAAGCCTGAGACTAATAAAGATTAGGTTCATTTGGTTATAGTATTCTCTTGGAATGGAAAGTGAAATCTATTAGTTTTCTTCTCTTCCCAGTACTTTTCATTTTGACTTCTAATCACACTTTGGAAGATACAGTGATGGAACTAAAAGCGTATATTTGGTAATGTTAAGCACACAAAAATATCTTTTAGAATAATTCACTTTTGGGTTAGCCCAAAAGAGTTTATTATTATTCAAATGGTAAATTATAAAGGACTACATATTTTAGTCTCTGTGAAAACACAGCTCAAATAGCTTGTTTTGTAGACAAATTAAGACATATATTTGGAATTTTAGTGATCTGAAACATTGGGGTTATGTGCAGTTAAATAATATTTTCTTTGGTTGTAGACAGTCTGCGTTGAGAAAAATGAAACACTTGGTGGAACGTGCTTGAATGTTGGTTGTATTCCTTCTAAGGTGAGCATATGTTTTGTACAGCGCAGAGATTGTTTTTGGCTAGCAACCAACTAGAAGGATGGATTGAGACTAGATTAGACAAATACACTTGTTAAAAAACAATCCAAGTTGTGGCACATTTCACACAGAGAAAAAAAAGAATGATAAAAAACACACTTCTCTTTTGTAAAACTTAAAGAGTGCTGTCACTATTCTGCCGCTCATTCCTGAAATAGCTTCCTTGTCTCAGAATGCCTAGCTTTCCATTCAGACAGACTCTGATGTTCTAGTTTTTTCTCTTTATCTTTCCTTTACCAATGTAACAGATAATAGATAGTAAGTAAATTGTTCTTTTAGGTCCTTTATGTATGTAAACATGACTGCCTTTTTCACCTGCCACCCTGAAGTGTGTACTTATGCCTTTACTTTTAAAGAAAGTAAAAGTCTTTTTCATTCTTGTTTGTTGAATGTTTTTCACATCATTATTGTCTGTCTTTGATTAGTAAGAGAAACTGAATGGGTGTAGTCCCATATACTATTCCATGTAGAGAATGCCATGTCTTTTTTTTTAACTTCTTTTAAAATTTTTATTGTAAAGTGACAGATTACAATTGTATATATTTATGACATACAAAGTGGTGTTATGATTTATGACTATAATGTGGAATAATTTAGTCAAGCTAATTAACATATTCATTACCTACCATTTTTGTGGTGAGAACATTTGAAAGAGAATATCGGCCGGGCGCAGTGGCTCACGCCTGTAATCCCAGCACTTTGGGAGGCCGAGGCGGGCAGATCACCTGAGGTCAGGAGTTCAAGACCA